CCAGTCATGTGTGAGAAAATGATGCCACATTAACAAAGAACTTTGATTATTGTGCAGATCAACATGAACAAAAGAGACACCATCAAGGTCTAACTAGATAATTTCTGGTGTGATTGGAACAGTTAAATAAAGAGAAAGTCATAGTCAGTATTTTAGTGCACATGGCAAATAGATCAATACTTGTAATTTTGCTAAACACTATGGGAGCATTGTGTGGTGGGAAACTGTTTACTAAAACAAATTTCACATTAGGACCAATGTCCTTAAAGAATTGCCAATCAAGTGATTTGTAGCTGATAGTGCCCAGAAATGCCATACGGGAAATCATTAAGTTGTCTAATTTAGTAACGTGGTACATGAATTAAATGTACTAGATTATTCTTTAACTAATAACACTATGAAATATGTTTCTGGACAATGTACCTGTATGTATATACCTCTGTCAATAAAACCTAAAAAATTGCACAAGTTTTGGGGAGAAAAAAGCAACTATCGCCTATGATAATAACGGAATTTGAGAGCCAGATTGAAAACCAATGTGGTACAAGCAAAGATCAACCAGGTGAAATTGTGATGAGAAAATCATGATTTTAAATGATCTCCCTTGTAATAGGGTTAAAGTATTATGAATACTAAGTAATCTCTTTCAAAAAAATCTCTTCTTTGCAAGATGATTTTTGTAATTATTTGGCTTCTAAAATCAGAATTGTGTTTTATTTGATTTTTTGATTTTTGTTTTCAGCTCCAATCAGAACAAAAACTGTTGCGGAATGTGTTACACTGGGGGAATCAGAATATGACTGGCAAATGTTCATCTATATAATGTACCATTGGATTCCATTCGTTCATGAATCTCGTTTTATCAGAAGTTCATTGACTGATTTTTTCCAAAAACAATTAACTTGCTATACATATGGTCTAGATGTATTCTTCTGTTTATATACAAAATGCCGAACCAGAGGCTGTATTTGACCTAAATTTTTTTTTGTGAAGAGCTTTATCTCAAAGTGCTTAGCAAACTCTGTTCAAACTAAAAATATCTGATGTGAAGAAGACATTGTAATGATTTGCATGTGGGCATCAGTTTGTTTCCTAATTATATCAGATTTGTATTCAAATGAACAGTAAATTCTTACTTATAATCAAGATAACTGGTAGACTTAGTTTAGTCAGAATACATTGTATCTAATATTTATTGTGTCCTTTTCATTACAGAGATTGTAGACAATTCTCAAACAGCCTATAAAGATGCGTTTGACATTAGTCAAAACGATATGGAGCCGACACATCCAATTCGTCTAGGTTTGGCACTAAATTTCTCAGTATTTTATTATGAAATTAAAAATGAACCTGATCAAGCATGTAAACTTGCGAAGCAGGTAAGTGTAACCAATTTGTGTTCTTAATAAAATTAGTATTGAACAAATTTTGATTTTCTGACCGTGCATTGACTTGAGAATTGAGCATTTATTATTTTATTAATGTTTACTGAGATGCAGGTTGAGTGCAAATAAGTGTCAATTCTTGCTACTGTGTGCTGGGATCAGTTTAGAGTGCAATTTTTACATGGCAAGCATTACTTATCAAGATGTATAATTTTTCTCTATGTACATTCAACACATGCTAATTCATACAAAATTATTTTAGGTATATTAAAACTGTTTCAATTCAGTACTCTGACAAGTGCACATTTTGGAAAATGTGTATAGTATTGTTAAGTTAACCCTTCAATGCCTTTGTTTTGCTGCTAAAATGTTGACACAATTGTATGTATTTATTTTAAATCAGAAAGAATTTCCAATTGCCTACACTTCAATTTTAGGAGAAAATGTATGCAGATTTATTTTTGTTTTTCAATGGGTTCAAAGGTCTTTGTCAAGTTGAGGTGGATCAGTTTGGAGCCCATTTCTGTAGACCCATTTTATCAATGAAGTATAACACATGGTGCAATGTAAAAAAAGAATTGGCAGTTAGAGGTGAATTAACACCCTATTTCTGTTCATCTATTTGTACTCTTCCTAGGCGTTTGATGAAGCAATTGCTCAATTGGACACGTTGAACGAAGAATCATACAAAGACAGCACCCTTATCATGCAGTTGCTCAGAGATAATTTGACTGTAAGTAATCATATTAGTTTACAGCTCGATAGTACGTCTTGTGATAAATTTATGTGACAATACTGTTGCAGTCTTCTATTCTTACAGCCAAAAATTCATCTTTTTGAGAACAATGTTGAAGATTCCATTGCAGGGCCATGTAGAAATTGTTTGTGTAAATAAAAATTCATACAATCACAGGCAAAATATCTGTCAGCTATATCAAAAGACAAGTTTTAAGTTACAGTGCCATCAATTTCTGTGCAACAATAGGGGTTGATTTCTAGCTAATGCAATTTATTTGGTTTCCCCGTTTTCGATGAGCTTACCAAACGTTTACCACCCTACGAAGACTAAATTTGAAGTTTTACCACCAGAGCACACAAATTTACAACGCAAGGGCAGAACTTAAAACTTGTCTTGTGTCTGTATGCAGAGTGCACAACCCAAACCCTTGATGTTATTGCTTAATTTTTTTGAACCAATGTTTTGTATGGTGGCTTGTGACTCAACTTGTACTCAACTATATTTACTTGCAGTTATGGACGTCTGATTCAGGAGAAGGGGATGAAGGTGGTGAAGATGGTGGTAACTAGATAGAGACTTGCGATTAGTATCCAGTATCTTTCATTTCAACATTACATCGGGAACTATCAGTGTTTAATCCCTATTGGAAAACAAGAAAATTACACAAATCTTTCAAATTAAGAAAAAATAAACCTTTGAAAAAAAAAAAGTGAAAAAAAAAAATCAGCAAGAGCGAAGATCTCCTGTATCCTGTGTATACCCCCCAATGGGTCTGTAGAGTTTACTCATTCTATTTAGTCTCGTAAGTGGTTTCCTGTTATGGCTTGGTCTTATTCTTTTTTTGTTCTGTAACGAGTGTAATGAATCAAATGACTTGTATTTCTAGTGCATAGTCTGTAACTAATCTGGCTTTTATCCTTCAGAATACTAGAAAAGTGAGGATTTTTTTAAAAAACAATAATGCTATATTAGTGAACAAATTGCATTTCAATGCTATGTAGTTTAAAATTATAAAATTTAAATGGAGTATCAGCCAAATTTTGTGGAAAATGGGTGACCTATTATGTTGGAATGGAGTTTACAGCAATTGTCAAAATTTATAGTGATTTATGGCAAAACTGGAGGATATCCTAGGCTTTTCTAATTGTTTCAATCATATTTGTCAATGTGAAACACTAACAGACAGTGATGAGTATGAATGCATGCACGCACGCACCATCTAAACAGTGGCTGAGATGCAGGTGTGCTCTGTCTCTGCAGTGGCCAACGTGTGTGGTTGGGCGTTGACCTTGGTCTATATGTATTGTAGTTGTCATGTAGACTGGCTGGCACTACCAAATAATGACTGTATTGACCAAAATTGGGTAACATCTCTGACCATAATTGGGTAATTGCTGTAGCGCAGGAGCTCATTGCTGTGGTGCTGCTTTCAAGCTATATAGCCATGTGTTTAGGACCCAGTCTGGTGAATTAACATTTGCTCCATACGTGTTGAAAGATGTCAATTCGCTATGTGTTAGTTGTTTGTAGAGTATATAGAGCTTTCTATTACCCCCACACTGCAAAGAATCTCAACTCTTTTACCCAACGCTTAAATATAAAATAACATTTCCGATTATTATTTGATACAGAAATGAATTTTTGAGTTGTAGTATTTCTATGTTCTCCTAAGAAGTTTATTAATGCATGTTTTATAAAAATTTGCCAGATTTAGGGTTTAAAAGGAAACAACACAATTCCATTTCTCCTTCAGATATGTTGGCTGCTGTTGTATTCTTTAATATTATTTTCTTGTTTTTATACTGTCTGGAGAAAAAGTGGTACTGTACTTGTCAGCCTGAATATTTTTTTTTTGTTAATATTAAATTCCAACCAAGAAAAGAAAAGGCATCTTTCTTGTGGTTTTACTGTAGAATGGTTCTTAGTATATAATGCTTGTCAATTGTTAGTAAAATCTATTAGTCGTACATATTAGTATTGGGTATATTTGGTGCTGCAGTGAGTGACCAATATCTGCACTTGAATGTCTGCTACTTTTGCAGTGGTGGGTGTGGTATATGTGAAGCACCAAATGCCGAAGGGTTTTGGTGTGATAATGCCGCCGCTGCTGCTGCCGATTAGTGCTTGCTTCTGCAAAATGTTGGGAAGAAAGATTGTATAGTCAAACTGAAATGACTTGTTAAGAAACTAACAGAAGCTCAAAGCTTTTCAAACTTGTTTGTTTCTGTATTATTCCTCATGGCAATAAAAGCGTGGGAAATTGCGATTCTTTTAGTTTTTACTTGTCAATACACAGCTAGTTTGCATGTCACCATTAAGATTGAGGCAATGCTATATAAGCCATACTTTTCAAAGCAAAGTCCTTATGAACACGGGACCTTGGCTATTTATATTCACCTTGCCCCCTTTACAACTATTTCTATTCTAACCCTTGTTAAGAAATTTTCCCTGATCACTGTTATAACTGCCTCATTATTACCTTGTTTAATGTTGCCCATTTACACTGCTGTCCGAAAATGAAATTTTCAAATCTGTTAAATTGAACCAGATTTGATGTAGTGCAAGTATTGTTAATGAAAAAATGTGATAATTTGTATCCTCACCACTGTACATTTCTATGGGCTCTGTGCGCGCTGTTGTGGAACGTGGGTCGAGATGGTGTAAATTCGAGAACACAACACAAATTCAACTTTGAAGTAATCCCGAACAACCAAATTTATACATGTTACACGCGTAGGGGTAATATTGTTGCACTGTTCAGGGGAGTCTCGACAACCATTCCAAAGTACAGTTTTCTGCGAGTTTTTGGCCTTTGTTTTCACGCCAAGGCAGGGCTTGAAAATTACGGTAGCCCGATCGCTCGGGCTAATGAATTTGCTTGCCGGACCATTCAGTTATGAACGTTACTAGTCCGACGGACTGCCTGAAAAAAATCACTTTTTTTAATTAATTTGTCATCTGGTTCGTGTAACAGCAGTTTTTCGGTTAAACCCATCAGTTTGGTTGCCCTAATTAGCAATTTTTGCCCAGATAACGCGAGAAAATATTACAACGAATACTTCCGTATTCCATAAACTCACTGCGCATGTATAGTATCAGATGACCTATTCAATGACATCACGGCATGGAGTACCTTGAAACCGTCCCAATGTTGCACATGTAAGCCATTTTGAAACAGTCAAATGTTTACCACGTGTGCCTGATGAACTGTGACCTTGTATATGTCATTTTGTAAGCACTGCGATGCACGAACATTGACAAGTCTATGGGCTAAAGTCCCAAAA